TGGAATCGCAATGTCAAAACAAGAATGGAGTGACTAACTGGGTTGTTTAACGTTATTTTTAGGACGTAAAAAATGCTTGGAGAATGGAGGTCGAGTACAATGATCCCATTGTACAAGAATAAGGGTGATATTTAGAATTGCAACAATTGTAGAGGTATCAAGCTATTAGTTATACTATGAAAGTTTGGGAGAGGGTGGATATGCGGGTGAGGAAGGGTGTGCTCATTACCGAGAACCAATTTGGATTCATGTCGGAGCATTCAACCACATAAGTCATTCATCTCATAAGGAGATCGGTTGATCAGAGAGGAAGAGGGACTTACATATGGTGTTTATTGACCTAGAAAGAGCATATGACAAAGTCCTTAGGGGGGGGGGGGGGGGGGTTCTATGGAGATGTTTGGAGGTTAGAGGTGTTCCCCTAGCTTATATTAGGGCGATTTAAAATCGACTTGTACGGTGGAGCTAACACTCGGGTGAGGACACAGGGAGGAGACTGGGAGCACTTCCAAGTCGTGATAGGGTTGCACCAAGAATCATCTCTTAGCCCATTTTTATTATCCTTGGTGATGGATGAACTGATGTAACATATCCAAACAGAGATGCCATAGTGTATGTTATTTGTAAAGGACATAATTTGACCGAACATAGGTAGAGTTAATGATAGGCTGGGGGTTTGGTGACAAACTCTAGAGTCTAAAGAATTCATGTTGAGTAGAACTACAGCATAGTACTTGGACTCTTGGAGTGCAAGTTCAATAACGTAATTCACGAGGCAGATGTGAAAGTAAGGACTGATACACAAGTCATCTCCAAGAGAAGAAGTTTCAAGTATCTTAGGTCTATATTCAAGTATGGGGAGATTGACGATGATGTTACACATCGCATTGGAGCAGGGTGGGTGAAATTGGGCTTGCATCCAGTGTCTTGTGTGATAAGAATGTGTCACCAAGACTTGAAGGTAGTTTTATAAATTGGTTTGTACTGATCAAGAATCACACGTTCTTGTAGAAGAAAATAATGAAATTGAGGATGTTGAGAGGAATGTGTAGCCATACTAGGCGAGATAGGATTAGGAATGAAGATATACGGGACAAGGTGGAGTGGCCTCTGTGGTGGACAAGATGAGGGAAGTAAGACTGAGATGGTTCGAATTGTGAAGAGGAGATGCACAGATGTCCCAGTGAAGAGGTGCGAGAAGTTGGCTAGAGTGGGGGAAACACTCTATACAAGAAGTATATCAAAAGTTGTTTACCTACAGGAAAATGTGATTCTCTACCAAAAAAAACGTTCAGCTATACTAACAGGAACCTCATGGGTATCCCAAAAGTAAATAAAAAAACAGAAGGCACGCTGCTCTAATCTGTACAAAGTTGTATTCTGCGCTGTCAAAAGCTCTCGTTTATTGTGTTGTTATTTATCGGTAGACTATTTACTGGATCAGAGAAGTACAAGGAAGTGAGGAACTCTAATTTCCTATCTAGCAAGTCATGAGAGATGGGCTTTCTCAAGAAGTTTGTGCTTTCCAATTATTGCTAATGATGAATAGAAACAAATATTATTATTATTTACCAGAAAAGATCATGTGTTTGAGCTTTTTCTTCTTCCTTACTTACAGATACCATCATTGAACATAGAACTTCCCTCAAACAATGCCAAAACCATTTCATGCAACTGAATTCTTTTAATGTAAGGTGCAATTGATGAGTTGATTTTTATCAAAATGGAACCATTTGTCGTGATAGTAATTTATATGTCTCTGTTGATAATCCTAATTCTATCCTTGTAGTTGTAGTATACTGAATGATATCGACAAAGTACATTAATAATGAAGAAGTGACAGAAGAATTGCATGAAGGTTGACGAATCGATGCCATATATCTCTTGAGGAAACAGATTCAAGATGAAGACTCTAAAATGCCTAGTTTTGTTCTGCATACATTGCAGCAGTTTAAAACTTTAAGATGAGTTACTTAATTGCTTGGGGGGTAGTCCATGTTTGTGGAAGTATCAAGAGTCTTTAGTTTCTTAATAGCTTTAGCTTTAAAGAATGTCTTTGATTTCTTAATAGATTTAGCTTTAAAGTGTATCTGAAATGTTAATTTCAAAATTATATTGCTGACTGGAATATTTTAAATTTCCTATATATGTCTTAGATTGTGGATAACATTGGTAATCTAATAATTTTTGCAAGTTTTTAGCAGGTCAGATTAGATATTTTTCTTTTTCCTTCTTTTGACTGACTGATTGAAGAGTTTCAAATTTAGCTTCTAGATGCTATTGATTTTATGAACGCTTTTTCTTATTACAGAAGTCATATTATATGTTTTCTTTCTTTGTTAATCTTGAGAAGCTGCTTCACCTTTCATACATACTCTAATTCTTGTTCATCGATTTCTTCAGTGTCCTTCTATTTTGTAGTGTGTAGTGCAGCTTGATCTTGTTGAGTTCCAAGAAGACTTTGTGCTTGTTTGGGTAGTTTATGCAGCCTTTTTCTTGAAAATGTAGTAGTTATTCTTGAATTTCTTTCCTTTGGGGTATCAATCTTAAATGGTGTGATAGCATCGTCCTTTATTAATCCTGATTCCTGGTTTCTAGTAATGTGATGTATAGAGCAGACTATTTTACCTTTACCTTCGTCGAGCAACGTTTAGCTGATATCATGAAAAAGCTGACCAATCATCTCTCTGCTTTAACACCTTTTATTTTTTGCTTTCCATGTTTCAGGCCCTTGATACCTTCAATACTGCTGTTGTCTCTCCTATATACTATGTTATGTTCACAACACTAACAATCGTTGCCAGTGTCATCATGTTTAAGGTGTAGTATCTACCTTTTTCCTTCACTTTTGAGCTTGTTTCTAGAGAATGATGAATACATTAGAGTTCGTCCGCTCCTTGGGAATTTATCCCAAACTTTACGCCTTAGAATGCCATGTACATTTACACAATTGCATGACTTGGAAATACCAACAATAACTACATCATATGGAACAGGAAAACCATGATTATTTGTCCAAAACTTTGAAGCCATGCTTATCGATCTATTTATACTACATTATGTAGGACTGGGATGGCCAGAACATTGGGAGCATTACATCAGAAATATGCGGTTTCATCGTTGTGCTCTCTGGAACCATCTTGTTGCATGTTACCAAAGATGTGGAAAGAAGTTCATCTTTCAGAGGTGCACTTTTCATCATCCCAATGTTTATAAAAACCTGATGTTCTTTTCTCTCCATCCATAAAATTACTACCAAAAAATTGCAGGTAATTACACACCTACATCCCCTTCGTTATCAACACGACTATGTAATTCAAACGGGGAATCACATAAGCATGAAGAAGAAGATGAATCGTATTCTGAGGAAGCCGATTCTAGAAGACAGGATCTCCAGGTTTAACATGATTGCTTTAGAGAAGACCAAGACTCTTTTCTTATTATGTTCCACAAGGAACCATGATTCGCGGTTAGAAATGTGAAGCAGACAACCAATAATCCATCTGAAACCTTCAAAGCTGCTGCAAGCCTGCAACGCCTCAGTTTCGTTTTCTATTGCATCAGATTTTTAGCAGCAAGGTAAGGACTCTACAGGATGTTAAAGAAAGAGTTGGTGGGAGATCATCAAAAGTTGTTGCGGACTGAAGCTATACTGTTGTTATAGTTATAGGAGTTCCAAATATTGGTTCATTGTACATCATTAAGATCTATAGAAGCAGAGTTAAATGATGAGAGCTTAAGTAGGAGTTCTCTGTGATTAGAAGTGATATAATTCATTTTAGTTTTCTTCTTTTCTCTGTCCCTGTTGTATAGCTATTTTTGATGTATTGGGTAGAATCTTTGTTTATGTTTCATTCTTTAGTGAACTTGAGATCACAAAGATGTTTGATTGATTTCCAATAACACCACATTTTTTTTAAATTTTATCTCAGGTGTTTTTTCACTCACTTCCCCACTCCAGTGTAATTTACATGAGAATTCTTTACATTGTCCATGTATATTCACAAAGAAAATTAATTTTAAAAAAATAAAACGACTCTGCTGGGGATCGAACCCAGAATCTCTGGTTTCGTAGACCAGCGCCTTATCCATTGGGCCACAGAGTCTTATATGTTAGGTACTTTCATTGAATAGTAATTACTCTAATCAAATTACGAACCTTTCAATTTTTTTCACCCTAATGGATGTAATTTGTTCTCTGTCATTTTTAGTAAATCATAAAAACACTTGATTTATATTTGGATAGAATAGCAACCACCATAAACAACAACAATAAACATTTTCATCTTTTTTTTCCCTTCTCGACTTGTGTATCTCTATCTCTATCTAAATAACAATTATCTTTCAACAAACCTCTAAAAGTAGCATAATGTATGGTGTAAAGAATTTTTGCTAAGTTAATTGATTAAGTTATTAAGGTAAAAACAGAAGAAAATCGCCGAACGCATGTGAAATAGACTTATGAAGGATTGGTGCTTCTGGATGAAAATAGAGGCGGACTGTTATAGAAAGAGAACGTATAGAGTTGATCTTTGATTTGAAGGAAGCTTATCATTGCATAAAAGCCAAGATATCTAATACTTACTACACATTGTTTCGATAACAGATTAAGAAAAATCATAGTCTTGGTATAAATTCTAGTTCTAGTATATATGTCATGTTGAACTTGTAATTGCCTTATAAATAATCGCACACGTTCTAGCCCTTGCTATTCACGCATGATTAACGAGTAGACAATATGTGTAATTTTTTGCCTACAATCTTTACAATTAACTCTTATCAACTTGGAACCCATGGTGTCTACATTTTGAGTTGGCAATTGTATGCAGATGGCATGTCCAAGTCAGTTATGATTTATGAACAAAGTTAAAGAGTTTGGTGAAACCTTGACGACTTCAAAACACAAACAAGCCAGTATATCATACGGGTAAAGGAACCAACTTATTGAAAAGAAACAACTACATGGATCCTCCTTTCTGCTACGATTAACAACAACATCAACAAGTCACTTTTTTTTTATCACATAGAAACTAGACAATCAAGTCAAGCAAAGCCAGCCTACATCCTTTTGCTTCAGTTGCAGTATGTCAGTGTTTCAACAAAGAAAGACAAGTATCAAAACTAAGTACTGGCGAATTACAGTTGATAGCCTCAGATGTATACACGGACCAGAGGACGAAGTATCATATGCATGTTACTGATTTTACTGATGGATCATTTCTTGCGGGACAAAGCTGCTACAAGTCCACCAGCCAGGAGTCCAACAGCAGTAACGGCAGTAGCAGCAATGCCAATGCCAATTACTCCATCTGCTTGGACAATGAACATATATAGTTCATAACTTCATTCTTTGACTGGAAATGGAATCTGATAAATAACTGAAGATAAAGATTCGGCTTAATACCTTTAGTAATTTTATCTTCAATAGTTTTCCTGAGGGTCAAGGCCTGTCTCCACTCCGGTTCAATCTATAGATTCAAACAGCTACTAGTTAAGGCAGAATGATTAAGAACAGACTTGGAAAGAACTTGAAAAGTACTCAGCCAAGTCAATGAAATAGCAAAACTTCAGAATTGCATGACACAACGAAGTTTGAGTATGCAATTTTTGGATTTCATAAATCAAGCTGCAGAAAGATAAATTGTCCAAGATAAAGTAGGGGAACAAACTTCATAGCACAGAGATAAATATCTCAGATTTTAATGGCAAAGTGAAGAGGTGAATAAAATATACTAGCAAAGATTGAATAACAAATATCAAACCTCCAAACAGCGCTCAACAAGCTGCCTGCTTCTTGCATAGTCCCCACTTCTGTAGTAGCCAACCGCCAGAAGATAAATCTTTTCCCTCATTTGCAGGGGACTGTTACTGCCACCCAGAGAAGCTGCAAATGACAAAATAAGTTGGAGCTCTTGCTAAGGAAGGAAACTAGCATAAGAAGAGTGAAAACAGTAAATTGCAAAGCAAAAGGCAAAGGGAGAGGAGTCAAAAGGTAAAATCCATAAGAGCTAGGGAAAGGACAAACATATAAGTGAAAGTGTTTACCAAAGCTTTCGTGAAACTCAACAATCCCCAAGCACAGGGTATGGAAAAGGATGAATGGATTCCAAAAAAAAAAAAAGGATTCCAATGATCTCACCTTCAAGCATTGCTATTCCACGTTGTACATCTTCTGGACGTCTTGAGTGAACAAGAGCCCATGATAGACGCATGATGCATTCATTTTTCAGTTCATCAGAGGAACCTTTTCCCGCCTCAGCAACTTCACGTTCACAACCCTGTACATAGATTGCCCTTGTGAACGACTCAGATACCACATGGATCCGCAAATCTATTACAAATTACACATTATTCTCTTGAACAACAGCAGACTCTTTCAGCAAGATATTCAGAGAGAGCTTTACAAACGTCTCAAGGAAACGTTAACCAAAACCAAACAACTTTGACACCAATTCTGCTATCCTTCAACCATCACTCTCCTTTTTGTCTGTGTCGTAATTATCAACACCATGACCCCCTATAGATGGATGGCACAGCCAGAACGACTTTTGCTTTGAACAAAGAAAGATGATTCAAGAAATCACCCACTGATGCAACAGGGAGACAAGTGAACAGACACCTCTACAACAACAACAACAACGTGTAATCTCACAAGTGGGGTCTAGGGAGGGTAGAATGTACGCATCTAAGCTTTTTATTTCCATTGTCGTAAGTGGAATGGTTTGTGGGCAAAATGGACTTCAGATATGTTTTAAATGCCTCTTGTTCATGTTCAGAAATCACGTGATAGATACGTCTGAACTCTAAACAGTTGTTAAAATTGGAACAGTCCTCCAACAAAGTAAAGCAACACTGATAAACCTTCTACAAATAGTTTACAGTAAAGTTGGGGCCACTACTCACTTTAGCCCTAATTCCTAGAAGTTTTCCGTCTCTCAGGTGGTTGTGTTTCTAACATTAATCTCTTTCTTGATTAAAGCAGTTGATTTCTGTTACTTATAGGATTGAGATCACAGGTAATGCAAGTCAAAAGCCAAAAACATATATACCTTTCTTGATTAAAGTTTGTTTTCCATCCAATATGCAAGACCTTGAAAACCATCTACTGAAAGTAAAAACACGAAGAAAAAAAAAAACAGAAAGCAAAAAAAGAAAAGAAAGGGAAATCACTTGCTATGGCCAACTAATTTACAATTACGGTATAAAAATTCTGCAGATTATTCATGTATATAAATCAAATCCATTGAAAATATATTCATATTGCTCAAGAAACAACAAAAGAGCAAAGTTAATTTTGAGCTCTTATTTTGGATTAATTTGAAAATGCTTCTTCCAAAATCTCCTCCTTATCCAAATTTCTACATCCAAACCAGCCCTAACCATTTTTACCCCCAAACCAAGCCAGCCAGCTATGGTAATCCTTCAGCATGCACTGAAACGAGTTTATTCCATAATTTGCCACATAACCCTTCTGGATTAGCTCTTTTTTTTCGCTCTCAACTTCAAAGCAAAGATAAACACCAACTATACAAAATTACAAACAAACATACAGAGATATAAAATGAAATAGAAAATTCACTGAAAACCCCACACAAGCAGTTCTTCGTCTATATCCAATCAGCTACAGTTGCCGAAATCAAATTGCAAAAAAATTAAAAAAAAATTGCTAACTAGTGTACTTACAGTGACGATATCGGAATCGCACCAAGGAATCTGATCTCCTCCGGTGAAAAAATTTCCGACCGAGTCGAAGAAATTTCCGATCTTAGCATCCATTGATTTCTCTGTAGAGTGTACGTTGTGCTGCTGGTATTGTACGCAACAAGAGGTGCTATGTGGGGGGTTAAGAACGAAATCATATATATATATATATATATATATATATATATATATATATAAAAAGAGAATCTTAGGCCCGCCTACGTGGCGACATCACAAACCAGGATTCCTTTTTAATTTATTTATTTCTAAAATTAGTTTTTCCTTTCATGAAAAGTTGTGACTTTTATAAAAAACGTGTAACTTTTATGAAAAGTTGCAACATTTACGAAGAGTTGCGACTTTTATGAAGAATTGCAACTTTTATGAAGAGTTACAACTTATGAAAAATTGTGACTTTTATGAAAAATTGTGACTTTTCCAAAGAGTTGTGACCTCTCCGATAAGACGCAATAAGCATTTATTCACACCACCCTTTGTTGTCTATAAATAAGGAATTTCCTCTCATTTTAAAACAACGAAAATTCTGAACTTCTTCTTCTTCTGCACAACTAAATATTCGTGTACTTTGCTCATGTTGAGTGACTCACTGACACCATTATTTTTGTATCAATACACTGGTGAATAGAATCGTTCTATCCTGGGAGGGTCTATTCATTTAAACATCGGGTACTAGAGGAGAATAATTTCCTTAAGGGGACAATGTGCATTAAGTGGGATAGATTTTTTCCTTTCTGTTTCATTCTATTGTTACATATCCTGGTATTTTTTTTACGATCATTAATTTATGTTTATGTTATTAATTGTTGTTTTTGAGTACATATTTTAAACTTTGTTGTTTATGTTTATGTTTTTTATCATTATGTTGAAGTAAATATATGTTAATCAAGAGTTTGATGTAATCATTAGACTATTGGTGTCATGTAGATTAGAATTCTTAAACTTGTAAAATAAATTACTTTGATTTTTATAGAGTTTTCAGTGGCTAAAAGATTTGTGGGATGTCCAAGAAGGGACTTTTGAGTGTTCAAAAGTTATGGTGGTTTCACACTACCTTGGAGTTTTAGTTATTCAACTTTCTATCTTATCGAGACATTCAATCGATTAGTGGCATCTCCAAGAAGGGACTTTTGAGTGTTCAAAAGTTATGGTGGTTTCACACTACCTTGGAGTTTTAGTTATTCAACTTTCTATCTTATCGAGACATTCAATCGATTAGTGGCATCCAAAAAATAAAGGAATGGTAAGTATTGTACTCAACCTTAATTAAAAGTTTGGGGTTCAAATGTTGGATTGAAGTCAATGAATTACCCCTCAAAGTAGGATGAATCCATATTAATCAAATATTAAAGAAATAATTATCTCCTTATAAACATTAGTTTAAAAGTCGCAAAAAAATAAAGTTTTAATCATATTGATCGAAACATAAACAACAAAATATACCTTTTGGCTATCAAAGTAGTGTCATCGACTGCGAATGATTTTGAATAAGGGACTTGCCAAGACATCATTTAATCCAAATTATTTGAGCGACATACATTATTTCATTGAACTCCAAGAGATGTGTTTATAAATTTTAATTAATTTATCAAGTGGCCTTGAATAGGAGAAAAACTCTCGCAATTGATGAATAAAATGTTTGTACCACTTTTTGTAAATACAAATATAGACAATGAAACAATTACATATCTTTTCTAAAGATTTTGATGATGAATAACTACAATAAAATGAAGAATTAATAACAAAATGCATAAACACTTAGAATAAAATCTTTTTGGTTTTAAGATTAAAAAAATATTTCATTTGATCTTTGGATAAAATATTTTTGACAATTTATCGTAGAGTTGTACCCACTGGAAAACACTTATATTATCAAATATTCATAGGTAGATTATTGACGTAGTTCACAACCAAGCGAAGCACGGACAATTTACCTAGTGTAATATATTAAGCAAAACACAAACATTAGGGGTTGTTTGGTATAATTCAAAAACACATTTTAATTTTTAATTTTTTTTAAAAAGTTTTATATCTAAATTATCCCTTATTAGTTAAAAAAACACGCCTCTCTCTTTTATTTAATTTTTTTTAATCACAATACACTATATGGACAAAACATTCTATCTTGGTTAGAGCTGTCAAAATGGGCTTAGCCCATGGGGCCGACCCAACCCAACCTGTTATTGGGGTAGGGTCGGAATAGGATTTTTCATGCTCATTTAAAACTACGGCTTATAAGCCCTTGGCCCTTGAGGCTTGATCGGTCGGGCTGGAGTCGGTCCATGGGACAAAACTATTTATTTAAAGGTAACTTACAACAATCTTATTAGTGTATGAGCTAATTACTTAAATGTTGCACGCTATGCTATAATATTATGAATCTTACCAGATTTTGGTACGTCCAAATACATGTACTCAAAATTAGATTAATTTGTTCTAGATACATATCCAAGTGGATTCGCATGTATCTAGGATACATAGACAAATCTCGCGCCCTCACCTCCCTCCTATCTCGCTTGTCACTCTTTTATCTCGGTCGCATATCTGGGATGCATCACACCAGATACATGTATCTCGTATATCTAGTATCCTAGATACATGTTAATTACACTAGATTTTTGCTAGTGTTATTGAAATAACACCATTGTTTGCCATATTTAATTTGAAAATCTTCACATTTTCTTGATGTTATAGAATTTTAAGTTTGAAAAGAAAAAGAAAAAGAAAAAAAAGGGTTAGCCCTCCCCAGCCCTCGGCCCTTCTAGGGTTGGGTTGAGTTGAGCATCTTCAGGCCCTTCCAAATGAAGGGTCGGTCTGTCCTAGCCCTTCAAATTTCTTGACCCACAAGGCTTGGACCGGAAGGTGCTAGGCCTGAACTTTTTGACAACTCTAATCTTGATAAAAAAATATAAAAAAATTATTACCTGTATTAATTAAAGTTATAAAATAAAGAAGTATTATCCCAAAATCTTACTTCATCTCTTCCTTCCCTAATTTTTTTTAAAAAATAATCTACCTTACCCTATCTAACCCTTAGATTTCAATTTTTTTTTCTCATTTTATGTTAGATGTATGCAGATGTTTTTAGAAAAGTATTTCTTACTTGCCGCAAAAAAAAAATTAATTATTTCTGTCATATTTGGTATGCATATAGAAAAAAATATTTTCCTAAAGATATATGTATATACCTAATATAAAATGAGAAAAATGTATAATAAGAAAAATTAGGAGGGGAGGATTAAATGGGATGGGGTTGAATATTTAATTATTTTTTTATTAGTGGGTGGTTGGGGGATGGTGAAGTATGATTTTTTTTTTGAAAAAAAAAGGACGAGAGATTGTCGGGGGAAGGGGGTATGGGGGGTGAAGTGGGGTGGGAAAAATATTTTAAATTTTATCTTTTTTAAAAAAAATATTTTTTTTGAAGATAGTAGTACTTTAATCTTTAACTTTTAACTAATATTAATAGTTTATTTATTTTTTATCGTATGCAATATTTTTTCCATGTGGATTGTCATGTGGCAAGGTTTTTTTAAAATAAAAGAGAGAATGTATTACACACACCACTAAGATGTGTCTCAAAATAATAAGTGATTGTTTAGATATAAACCTCACACTTCCAATAGTTTAGGTAAGAAACTCAAAAAAAATAAAAAAATTAGGTGTGTTTTTGAACTTATCTCAACTAATAATTTAAAGAACGTAGATTGAATTTGAGCGAAATATGATGGGTTAAAGTTATAAATGGATTATTGTTTAACCCTACTTAAAATTGAGATAAATTAAGATGGACTATGTGTCCTTATACGACTTTCTTTCCCTGTGTGAGTGATGGCCTACCCAAGGAAGAAATCACAACCAGGGCAATCACTTGTATGTTAGGTAGCCTCCTTACTAAACACAAGTAAGAGCTAGCTTGCATTGAGAATGAGGGCCCTCCTAAGGACTTGCTTTCAACTCCTTATAGATAAAAGTCAAAGTTCAAACAACCCACTTTGCTCTTTACTCGCTCTGAGGGTCTAAAAAAAATAAAAAAATAATCATCTCGATTGCCTGTTTCTGTTCACTTGATTTTACTTGCCTTCTCTATTTTTGCTCATTTAAATTATAATATATTTATTTTGGCGGAATAACCTGAGAGACCCCTGTAGTTGGCTCCGTTTGTCACCTGGACCATTCTACTCACAACTTTGTCAACTAAACACTTAAAGTCATTAAAGTGCGTTATTTTAAACCCCTCTTATTGCTGACCAAGCTTATGTGGCATTTATTTGCTAAATATGATGAAATGCGTGGTTACACGCATTTAAAAGCAAGTGAAGACAAAAAATTTAATTAAAAAAGAATGTAATGAAAAGAAATAAGAAAAGATCTTCTTGGCTTGTTCCCCAGTCCTTTACTGTTACTCTTCTTCTTCTTCATAAGTTTCCACTCTCACCATCATCGTTGCCCCTCCCCGCCTCCTCTCTCCCCCACTTCAGTTATCTTTCTTCATTCTTTTTCTATGATACTTGGTTTTTTATTTTCCTCTTCTAACACAAGAGATTTACATAAAAAAAGGGGAGAAGAGACAAATAAGAGAAAAGAAGATTGAAATGACAAATAGATGAAAAGATTTAGAAAAGAGCAAAAAATGAGACTCTAGAAAGATTAAAATTTTCTCCACTTTCAATTTTGATGAATTTTTCGGCCAAACAACTCATCGGCGTTGATTTCTTGGCAATGATTGCCTCAATGGTGGCTCTCTGTGAATGGAGTGGCCGGAGAGACATTTTTTCCGGTGAATCAATTTCAAAAGGTTGATTTTAGATGAATATGCAACTTTTTTTAAAAATAAATAAATTAAATTATTTGTAATGATAAAATGATATGGTAATTTTTGTCTATGTGACAATTTTTATCTGATGTGGATAATGATGTGTCATCCACATCAACGCGATTGAGAGACACTTATGCTCAGAGGGGTTTAGCCAAGTACGAGGGTCTCCCAGGTCATTCCACCATTTATTTTTGGGGTTTGAATTTTTTTTGTTGAATATGTTTCTCTCGATTTATATCAAGTTTTTTCAAGTTTATCAATGGCTAAAAATGATTCTAGAAATAAGAGAATTAATCTAAACATGTACAAT